AAAAATATAATAAAATAGTTGTATATAATATTCTATCTCATTAAGAATATAATTATCAAATGTATGTAGGAAAGGATAATTTATCTTAATAAAAACTAGTTAAATTTATTAAAGGTACATAATTATCTTTGCATTTCTGGAATTTTTTTATTAATAAAATAAAGAATAACATAGGCTATAATGTAAATTTTGATTGTAGATGATAATAAGAAATGAACAATATCTATCTCCTTGACAAATTAATGTGCCACACAATTACTAATTACAAAATTATTGTCAGATATTTAGAAAATAATTAAAAGATTGTTGTTATGTAATTCATCAAAGACGATATTTCAAACTTCCATTCAAATTACTGATTATAATGATAACTTTAAATTAATTAGTACATTTTATTAGAAATTTTAGAAAACAATATCAAAGAGAGTAAATTCTCTCAAGCATTAAAATCTTTATCTTTCTATACGTTTATTTTCGTATGTGCATTTACAGCAATTCATAAGTTTAGAAGTTGTTGTGTAATTAAAATTCTTTAGTTCAATGAATGTGTTGTATTACATTTTTAAATTTATGGAAATAATAAAATCTAGGAGCTAAACTTCTTGATATTTTATCAGTAATAGTATACTAAAGACTAGATACTTTCAGGGTGTCTAAGGAATTCTAATACCATGCTTCCGGCTATTCTAGTAAACTATTGATTTCCAATCTATGTTACAAGCAATGTCAGATATAGTTTGGTCTGACATCTTTAACTTCATATAAAATAACTTGAAAAGCGAATTTTTTTAAAAATAAATTTATCAAAAAATTATATATATAATGTTTTATCTTTATAGAAAATTATATTAGTTTATTATCATTATGCCTACTTACATCGACATCGATTCCTTGAAGAGGGAAGAACTGACCGGGCGGTTTATCACTTGGAACGTAACGATAAAATTCCATAGCATCTCTATACCACTTTACAGAATACAAAAGATCGCCTTCTAATTCAAAAACACACGTTAATCTAACTTTTTCTCCTACCGCAACAGAACCAGGAACGTCTAAAGAAATTAAACGAAGACACGAAATTCCTGGAAAAAATAAAACAACAAAATTTATAAAGTTCACGAAAATATAATCCTAAATTTAAAATTTTAGTAAAGTTAAATTATCTTAATTGTTTAAATTAATAAAAATCAGTTTAAAAATTTCGTTTATAGTATTATTTATACCGATGCAATAATGGAGTACTTCATGTATTTCGTTGAAAATTCAGAGTTTGACTTGTAATTTTAATTTTTAAGCATTCGAGTGATTATCGAAGATCTAGCAAACTAATTTTCATATTATCTAGCACAGTTTAAGTTTAAAATTACTTTAATTGTTATGAATTATCGATTTAAACTATTTTAAGTGTAATTAGTTTCACTTAAAGAGATAGAAAGAACCAGGAAGGAGGAAGAGGAGGAGGAGAAGAAGAAAAAATTTCAGTTTAAGATAATAAATATGGCAAACAATTCTGATGATTGGGTATTCGTGTCACGATCCATGTTTCTTCCTTCTATCGCTCTGTTTAATTGGACAGACTGAACATATGTCGTTGTTTCATGGTTCAACGATTTTTGCCTTGCGACTGTATTCACTTTAACCAGGATCGTGATAAAATTACAAGTTATTGTATGCTTGTTTCATTGATAAATTTTCTCAATGAAGATTATGTTACACAGATATAATCTTTTTACTGTATACACTAATTTTAATTAAAATTATGTATCTTAAAAATTATTTAATTTTATTTTCAGCTTTACAACTTACTTAAAGCAAGTAGAGTAAAGAAAAATTAGTGATTAGTTTACCTAGTCGACAGTTAGGCTGGTGTAAATGGAATCAAATTAAAGCAAAGTGGATAGTGACAAACAAACCGGTCATTTCGTTCTCAGAGAAGAGCCACATAAATTGAGCTTGACAATGGCATGTTAAACTGGATTGCTGTAGTTAGTTGAGGTTTTTTTTTTCTTTTTGGTGTGTGCGTATGTGTGTCTGTTTGTTGCTTTTACCTTAGAGAATGCCATTTGCGAAAATGAAATCAGACAAAATATTATATTTATATTAAATATGAAAGGGGAATTTTTGATATTTAATTAAAAATATTATCCTTCAGTTACATAAAACAAATTATTTATATTAATTTATTATTATCTAGAGAGTAATATTTTATTTATACGAGTGGCACAGCGTATAGTCACTTCTCATCAATTATTTAGCACTAGAAATAATTTTAAATATTTTTAAAAATAATATTTTATTAAAAATTTTGTAATTTATTTCTTATTTTTACTTTACTGTCAATTTTATTTTATGGATGCAGAAGATGAATTCACGCAGCACTCTATATTAGAGCTTGAGAATCTTTCCCAAACTCAAAATTTATGACGAATAAATTAAAAATTTCTTTACAATTAGAATAAAGTACAAGATTCAATTTTTATAAAATAAAAAAAATTAACTTTGAAGGAAAAAATGAACTGAGATGATCAAAAATCATTTAAGTTGAAACAAAAGTGGCGTTGTGACAAGATAACAGCAATGGTGATAGGAATAAAATAAAATAAAATAAAAAAAATGGAAAGAAAGATTGAATGGAAGAGACGCATACCTCCTATTACCTCGGAAGAGCAGTTTAATCTCGCTTCCTTTCCTTTTCAGTTTGCCATTATTGGAAATAGCTGGTCTTTCTAACTCTCCATATGTCTGGTGTGTGTATGTGTGCGACTTTCTGGTTCAACCGGATACTTTACACTATCTCATCAATCAAAACTATTGTTTCTGAGGTTGAAGAATAAAGGGAGGGACATAAGAAAAACGCACTTTCATATAAAACTCCACGGAAACGGTAGAAAAATTGGCAATATTGGAAAACGAAAGTATTCGAATATTAGGTACAGTTCTTAGACAGGTGATGAGTTATAGCTACGAAATGAAACTTAATAAGAAAAGTGGTAAAGGCATCTTCTTTCTATCTCTCTCTACCTCTTTATCTCATGTGTAATTTGAATTTATAATATATTAATAAGATGTTATTAAAGCAAAATTCTTAATCATTAATACTATTAATTTTTAGATATATAAGTGAGTTTCTTAATTTATAAAGTTATGCTAAATTTTAATTTATATTAAATTGAAAAAATATTTTTTGCTTATTTTTATCGTAATCTTAATATATATAAGAATATTTTTAATTTATTCGTTTAAAAATTTGAATTTGAGAGATTAAAAATAATTCTTTATCCATAAATTTCTGTTATAAAACACAATTAAATTATTATTTTTAATTTATTTAACTCTCTAGAATTTAAATAATGCTTGGATATGGTAAATATAATATAAAGTTAATTAGAATTTATAATAAATGTCACATACTCGACTTATATTTTAATTTATAATAAAGTTAAAGTTCATTAAAGAATTTTATTTATTTCCAGAGAATTTTATAAAGTTTATAGAATAGATTCTTTACATATATGAAAGGGTTTGATTTAATTGTCAATCAAGGAAGCGAAGACAGCTTTAAGTACTTGTCTCGCTTAGATTACCCGAACCGTAATTGTTGAAGTGAATCAGTGAAATGGCAGATTTTTATTTTTAGCAATATGGTCTCTTATGATACATTTGGGAAAAGAATCAACTGTACCAAAAGGTTTGCTAATCAAGATACTCGTCCGTTTTACGTCTCTCTAGGGTGTAAATTGGAGACTGTATGTTTAGTGCACATTACAGACTAAATTATGAGACATACTTCACTGTAAAGAACTTAAAAATAGTAACATTTAACTGTATTTTTATTATTGAAAAAGAAGGTAAATTTTGTTACATACCTTACAATATTTTTGTTTGTTATAATTAAAAATTGCAAGAAAAGAAATGAAAGATTTGCGGATTAATGAGAGAAATAAAAGATAGTGAGAATTGTAGGAGAAAAATAAAGATTTTTGTAAGGATTGGAGGAGCGTAATTAAATGTTTATAAGATGAAAAATGGAAGATTGTAAGGATTGAAAGAGAGAAGTGAAGATGAAAAGATTGAAAGAGACAAATTAAAACTTTATGTAGATTTTAAAAATAAATGGAAGATTTTAAGCGTTGAAGAGAAAAATAAGACATTGTAAGAATATAATGAGATAAATTAAGATTGTTAAAGCTTATAAGAAAAAATGAAAAATTATAATAATTAAGTCAGAGAAATAAAAGTTTTGTAAAGATTGAAGGAGAGAAATCAAAAATTTGTAATTTGAAGAAGGAAAATAAAAGTTTGGATTTTCATATATGATTTGTTTGAAAGAAGATAGATATTGTAAAGATTAAAGAAGAAAATAAAAGATTGAAAGGATTGTAAGAAAAGAATAGATAATCATTGTTTATTACGATAAAAATTTATCGTATTAATTGCCCTTTATTAGTGCTTGTTACTGTTTCCTATTATTTAGAAATCTTTTAGATTAATAATAAATTAATTCACTTATTAATAATATATATTTTAGCAATTAAAAAGTTTTAAAATATAGACCGATTCTAATATATATTTAAATAATAAATCGTCTAAAAAACTTCAAAATGATTTGAAACACGGATAAAGTTATAATATTTTGTAATATATCAGATTTATTGTTAGGAATTTCAAGAGAAAGAATTTAAATTTCGCGTTAAAAATTGCCGAAAAGAAATGATATTTACTTCGCTTTTTAACTTTATAAATTATGTTAAGTATAACTTCAGTTAAATCAGTTTATAATCGACAATTTTCTTTTAAAAAAATAATATTTTATACGTAAACTAACTGAAGAATAAGTTAAATTTTTCCATAAATTACTTTATTTTTAAAAGCGAAAAATGCTAACAAAAGCAGTTACATTTTTTTATATATATATAAAAAATCAAGCATAGTTTCCTTTAGAATATTTTCCATGTTCTTTTCTTATATATATATATATANGGAAAGAAATGAAAGATTTGTGGATTAATGAGAGAAATAAAAGATAGTGAGAATTGTAGGAGAAAAATAAAGATTTTTGTAAGGATTGGAGGAGCGTAATTAAATGTTTATAAGATGAAAAATGGAAGATTGTAAGGATTGAAAGAGAGAAGTGAAGATGAAAAGATTGAAAGAGACAAATTAAAACTTTATGTAGATTTTAAAAATAAATGGAAGATTTTAAGCGTTGAAGAGAAAAATAAGACATTGTAAGAATATAATGAGATAAATTAAGATTGTTAAAGCTTATAAGAAAAAATGAAAAATTATAATAATTAAGTCAGAGAAATAAAAGTTTTGTAAAGATTGAAGGAGAGAAATCAAAAATTTGTAATTTGAAGAAGGAAAATAAAAGTTTGGATTTTCATATATGATTTGTTTGAAAGAAGATAGATATTGTAAAGATTAAAGAAGAAAATAAAAGATTGAAAGGATTGTAAGAAAAGAATAGATAATCATTGTTTATTACGATAAAAATTTATCGTATTAATTGCCCTTTATTAGTGCTTGTTACTGTTTCCTATTATTTAGAAATCTTTTAGATTAATAATAAATTAATTCACTTATTAATAATATATATTTTAGCAATTAAAAAGTTTTAAAATATAGACCGATTCTAATATATATTTAAATAATAAATCGTCTAAAAAACTTCAAAATGATTTGAAACACGGATAAAGTTATAATATTTTGTAATATATCAGATTTATTGTTAGGAATTTCAAGAGAAAGAATTTAAATTTCGCGTTAAAAATTGCCGAAAAGAAATGATATTTACTTCGCTTTTTAACTTTATAAATTATGTTAAGTATAACTTCAGTTAAATCAGTTTATAATCGACAATTTTCTTTTAAAAAAATAATATTTTATACGTAAACTAACTGAAGAATAAGTTAAATTTTTCCATAAATTACTTTATTTTTAAAAGCGAAAAATGCTAACAAAAGCAGTTACATTTTTTTATATATATATAAAAAATCAAGCATAGTTTCCTTTAGAATATTTTCCATGTTCTTTTCTTATATATATATATATATAATTTTTTTTCTTTATCCCATCAGAG